CAAAACTAACAAAAGAGCAACAATATATAAGTGCAAATGACAAGTCTCGGTTAGCCTAACGCAGTACACGTAGCAAGGTGTATACATATATATATATATATATATATATATATACAGTGGGTACGGAAAGTATTCAGACCCCCTTAAATTTTTCACTCTTTGTTATATTGCAGCCATTTGCTAAAATCATTTAAGTTAATTTTTCTAGTCTGTCCATTTCAAAACTTTGTTTAATTTAATGTTATTTGGTGCTTATTTGAATTATGTGTGACATACTAGCAATTATTTAGCTAATTATATATGTAAAAGATAAATAAACAAACAAACACACTTTCATTACTGTAACATGCATAAGTGTTTGACTGGACAATTTTGGAACATTAGAATTGTTTGTAACTCCAATTATTCTCAATGAAAAACTGTTTTTAGAAATTACTAGCACAAATTAAATTAAATTAAATTTGTTTTTGGGACCATTAAATTTTTTTTCATACAAATTCAACTTGTTTTCTCCTCAAATCCTCCCTATTGCCATGCAATAAAACAAACAAACAAACAAACATTTTGATTTCTGTGATATGCATGCACGTTTTGCTGGATTTTTTGTTTTTTGGGAATAATAGAAATGTTCGTAATTCCAATTTCTCTTAAAAAAAATCTGTATAAAGTAAATTCTAAATATTAATAATCATTAGATGTTAGATGTTTAAATGAAGAACAAACATGATCTCAAAAGCTTCTTCTAAAACCTGAAATAAGATAAACCAATTAAAATAAAGGTTTTAAAGTAAATCTCAGACAAAGTAAATCTTATTTTCAGTCTCTCCATCATTCTGTGTGCAACCTTGTCTCAAAATTTTCTTTAAAAATAAATTAAAAATTTAATAAATTATTTTAAAGCATTAAAAATTGAAGCTTTTGGGGGACCTTACATTTTTTTATACAAATGTAATGCTTCAGCTATGTGTGACCCTGGATCACAAAAGCAGTGTTAAGTCGCTGGGGTATATTTGTAGCAATAGCCAAAAATACATTGTATGGGTCAAAATTATTGATTTTTCTTTTATGCCAAAAATCATTAGGATATTCCATGAAGATATTTTGTAAATTTCCTACCATAAATATATTAAAACTTAATTTTTGATTAGTAATATGCATTACTAAGAACTTAATTTGGACAACTTTAAAGGTGATTTTCTCAGTATTTTTATTTTTTTGCACCCTCAGATTCCAGATTTTCAAATAGTTGTATCTCAGCCAAATACTGTCCTATCCTCCTAACAAGGGTCCAGGGTCACATATATACTCCGCTGTGTCAGTCACATAAGCTTATTATGTTATGCATTTTTAATCAAATTTTGTGCACTAAAAGGTCTCAACTTTTGACAGTCTCACCAAAATAATAAGTCAAGAAAGAGATTGTGGTTGATATTCAGTTAATTTGATAAGGAAACGGAAGTCGAGCTGCACTGTGACACAGTATTCATCACTATACTCTGTTGCATAATGCACACAACTGTAACACATCATCCAGGAACCTTATGCATTCAGAAAAACCATATACTATGCACAATAATCATGCTGCAAAAATTAAAACAGTAAGGTAAGATGCTATTCCACTTTTCAGGGAGTTTCACCCGAGTTCACCTTTCACTTTAACATCTGGTTTCCTTTGACATTGTCTTTTGTGCTCAGAATGCAAGAAAAACTAAAACCATTCACAATCCAACCACTTCACTAGACCTCAGAACTGAGCTTTATAAACAAATCTTCATTCATGTCTTATAAAGATTCAAGTTCAGCAAGTTTGAAATGATTTGCTGGTAAACTGTGTCACTGTCGCCGCATGAATCGCACTGATTTCACAGCTGCTTTCTCTGCTTCAATACAGTCTGATGTCCACCACTGCTCTATATATCATTCATACAGGAAAATATAATGTACAGGTTTGATGAGGAGAAAGAGAGCGTGGTCAGTCGGTTTTAACTCTGACTGATGGTGCTGTGACTAAACTGTAATGAAACTGATGTTTTAATGCTTTTGAGGAACTGGGTCTGAGAAGAAGCGAGAACCAGTAGCCTACTTAAAGTCTGACAGTCGGCCGAACGGCTCGTTTAGATTTACTGTCTCCTAAGAAATACAACAAAAACACTTCAAAATTGGTGAGCGACAGATGGCAGGCGGCACATTTAAACCCTGATAAATATTAACTAGTAGCTGCTGTTCGGTGTCCGACTTTGTATGCAAACAGCAGCATGTCAGACCTAATGTTTGATTAAGTATCAGGTGTATGCAGTTTGCAATGCTTAAAGGAATAGTTCACTCAAAAATGGATGCTCTGCAGTGAATGGGTGCCGTCAGAATGAGAGTCACAATAATCCACACCACTCCAGTCCATCAGTTAACATCTGGAGAAGACAAAAGTTGCGTGTTTGTAAGAAACAAATCCATCAAGACATTTTTAACTTAAAACTGTTGCTTCTGGGTAACACACGAGTCCATAATAACGCTTCCTCCAGTGAAAAAGTCCATCTCCTGTTGTCTCTCATATCAAAAACCCACATATTTGTTTAGAGCTGTTTTAGTTTGTAAACTGTGCTTGATCTGTGCAGATTTCTCTCCTGATTCAGACTAGGCCACTTTTTCACTGGAGGAAATGTTATTAGATTGTGGACTCATATTTTAGTTGGAAGCAACTGTTTGACATTAAGAACGTCTTAAATATGGATTTGTTTCTTACAAACACACAGATGTTAACTGATGGACTGGAGTGGTGTGGATTACTTGTGGATTACTGTGATGTTTTTATCAGCTGTTTGGCCTCTCATTCTGACGGCACCCATTCACTGCAGAGGATCCACTGGTGAGCAACTGATTTCTCCAAATCTGATGTAGAAACAAACTCAATTTCATCTCAGATGACCTGAGCATGAGGACATTTTCAGCAGGTTTTCACTTTTATGTGAACCATGCCTTTTAAGTATAGACACTTTTTGTAAACGTTCGGGGTTCAGACACACTCTCTCCGTTTAAATCTAGATTAAAGACACATCTCTTCAGCCAAGCATTCACACAATGTATCTCATAACCTTGTACCTCAGTTATATCTGATCAAACGCACATCATCATTCTTTTGCTTAGATTAAACGCATTATTTTTTGCTTGGTTGGAACAGCAGCTACGTTCATTTTTCTCTATTTGCTTCTCTGTTTCTGCCTAGGATTTACACAAGCTTGAGTCTGGATCCAGAACACCTGAGAAGAGATGATGCAACCCCTCAGAGGACCTCAGATGATGCCAACCCTGAAACAACATACAGAACTACCACATTTTGCTATAAGTTTGATCGCAGCATATAATCATTGCTGTTGATAGTGTTCACCATCTGTTTGAATACATCATTAAATGATTTTTACTGTACATTTCTGCCATATGGACATCACCTTGAGATAGTCACCACTGATAAGCTACTCCTAAATATAATGTAGAAACTTTCATTTTCTGTGATGCTGCTTTGCAACGATTTGTATCATGAAAAGTGCTAAACAAATAAACGTGAATACAATTGAACTTTTCAATGTTAAAATACTTTCTCGTATGATAACTAAGCAATTCGTAGTGGAAACAAGCACTGGACTTGAGCGAACAAATGTGTATAAATCATTCATACAGCAAATTGAATGTGGCAGCTTCATTTAGGAACAATTCACACGATAGACATTATGTTTGTGTTTTAAGACAAAAGGCTCGTTCCCCCCCAAGAACAATAATTCTAACAATAAAGTTTTAAACCTGATAAACGATAAAAACTTTGACATCCAATCATAATCTACTCTATTCCAAAGAGCTCGGGCATTTAAAGGGATAGTTCACCCAATAATGAAAATTCTGTCATTAATTACTCACCCTCATGTCGTTCCAAACCCGTAAGACCTTCGTTCATCTTCAGAACACAAATTAAGATATTTTTGATGCATTCCGAGAGCTCTCTGACCCTCCCATAGACAGCAAGGGTCCTACCACGGTCAAGGTCCAGAAACGTAGGACATCGGTAAAATAAACCATGCGACATCAGGGGTTCTACCGTAATTTAACGAAGCTACGAGAATACTTTTTGTGCGCAAAAGAAAACAAAAATAACTACTTTATTCAACAGCCATCCGCGTCACCATGGCCCCTTTTGGAGAATATCCACTGAACGTAAACAACGTATGCTGTTCTATGTCAGCCGCACCACACGGATACGTTGCTTACGTTCAGATCAAAATGTAAACAATGTAGAAAACGACACCGCTGACTCAGAACAGCATATGTTGTTTAATTAAAGAATATTAATGACAGAATTTTCATTTTTGGGTGAACTAACCCTTTAATGCAACAGGCAACACAAACGCAGCGTGCACGCTTAATTTAAACAATGATATCGTGTGTTGGTGCGGACGCTAATATCTTCATCGTTATATTTGTCGTTCTTGGTGTGAACAGGTCTTAAAGGGACAGCTCACCAAAATTTTTTAATTCTGTCACCATTTACTCACCTTCAAGTTGTTCCAAATCTGCACGAGTTTATTTTTTCTGTTGCACACAAAAGAAGATATTTCGAAGAATGCTCGTAACCAAATAGCTGATGGTAGCCATTGACTTCCATAGTATGGAGAGAGAGAAAAAAACAATGGCTAGCGCCAACTGTTTGGTGAAAGAATTTACATTTATGGGTGAACATTATTTTGCAGTATTTTGCTTTAAATACTGCCAACAAATTCAAAGTATCAACTGCAAAAAAAAAACAAGAAAACAAAAACAAATGACGCATTGAGTTTTGAACAAAAGAGCGTAGTGCTTTTATAATAATTAATATCAAGTCCTTTACAAATAGTCACCGTGTACAGCAGCCGTTTGCATGGCAAGTTTCAGAGTCCAGAATTCATCAATGCAACGTGTGCTACAAGCCCTTACGGATCCGGCTCCCATGCCGGTGCATTGCTGCATTACACCCAAAGTGCTTTACAATCATATGAGGGGGTCTCTCCTCAGCCACCACCATAAAGAAAGAAAGAAAGCAAGAATATTTAAAAGCACCATTTCTCTCACTTTGGTACAATGTTCCCAAATGATATGGTTGCTAAAAGAAAGTATTTTAGAAGGCAGCAAATTATTGAACAGCCTTCACGTTGGCACCCGTGATGCTTCAAAATGCTCTAGGTTTTGTAGCAGAGCTCAAGGCTTGGAGCTCAATCTGTTGCTTACCCACACATCCATGTGCAGAGGTTTGATATTGTGAAGCAGAACTTCTTCGCAGTTGCCGTAGTCGCTGAACACAACCACAGCCGTGGATCCAGACGGGTGGATGGCGTCGATTCTCGCCCGATAAAACTGCCACCAATATACAAAGATGTTTTTCAAGAACACAAAAGGGGAAAATGCAATAAAACTGTACAAAGTGCAACAGTCGTGGTTCAGGAATTAAAAGCTCCATTCATTTTCCCCATAGGGAAATTGATTTTCAATGCTAAACTCTTAAAGATGGCTACAGTGCCGCGCTGCAACTTTTGATACAATGGGAGTTGATCTAAATATAACGCTATAATCAACACTTTTAATTTAACTTTCATTAGTTAATCTTGTTGGCTGTTATAGTAAGAAGAGTTCCACATGTAATGCTCATTTCATATGCAAAGATGTTAGCCAATCACAGCAGTGGGCGTTTCCACTGAAGTCTCCGAGCAGACACACCCCTCCCAAAAGAGCATTCAAATCAAAGGCTAAATTCAGGGTAGAAAATGAACATTTATATCTAAATTATGAAATTTTTGATTAACAAACTACACTAAGATTATAAGCTCAGCTCAGGAAACATTATGAACTAATAATGCATTTCATGACCCCTTTAAATCTTGTTTAACAGCATAATTCCTGGTGAAAAACTACATTATCCATGATCCTATACAGAAAAGTCGGTCTGCAAACTACTTAATTATGTAAATGTATATACATATTAGAGGTCGACCGATGTATCGGTTTTGCCGATTAATCGGCACCGATAGTTGATTGCCGGAACTATCGGTTATCGACAAAAATCCATGCCGATAGTTTTCCGGGCTGCGTCCGTTGCTGGAACGGCTGAGAAGGGTCTGCTGTCATTATACAGTGCGAGAGCGGCCTCTAGTGGTTGAAATCACTGACAGCACGTGCTATTTGTTTAGACACGTGATACTGCACGCTGAACAGAGCGGGAAACTTCAGACGCGGATTTAAATGCAGCCGACAGAAAATCCTGCCGCGCCACAGAGTGCCATTCACATAGTTTTCCTTTAAATTACATTATATTGGTCCCGAACCGTTGTTAATGTACATAACGAATTGTGTATTGTGCATTTTCAGCAAAACATTTGTCTTTCTGTGGCTCTAATAAAGTCTGTGTGCTTCATTTATAGAGCTATAATATAGGTCGCGCTCTCTTTCCGTTTGCTACATTTTTTTAAACACCGAACTTCAAACTCATCCATGCCAAATTGTTAATTCTTGAAGTAAACTTGTGTCCGTTTGGTGATTAAATAAACTGTTGCTCGAGATGAACGCGATGCTTCCGGAGTGTGTGTGATACCGGTGAGTTCTCCTAGACTCAGCGCTGTGCTTTTATTTTGATTAGATAATCATCAAGTGTTCAAGAATAGAAGCAGTTAAAGTCTGAGAGTATACATACAATATCCATATGTATATAATTTTAATGCTATAGCCTTTGTGTATATATTTAAAGATGTGCATCTTTAAGCATGACTGTTGAAATGAAATGGTAACACTTTAAAATAAGAGTCCATTTGTAGCATTAAGATTAATGAAAGCTGTGTAATGAAAGCATTGTTCCTTGTTAGAGTGTTAATTTCAACATTTACTTTTTTTTTTTTACTACTACTACTAGTGGTTCAGTACTGTTTTTGTTAAAGCACTATTTTAGTTTTTGTTCAGTATCAATTTTAAAACGATCGATTACTTAATCGGTATCGGCCAGTGTGGTCCAACCTAGCTATCGGTATCTGCAAAATCCACTATCGGTCGACCTCTAATACATATATATATGCATATTTGGCAATAAACTTCAAATATACTGTTTGTATAGATCGAACACCGATTTTAAAAGAACAGTTTTATCTCACCATTGCTTTTAAATCGACTGTCATTCGCAAAGCATCATGGGATTGTAGATTTTTCTTCAATAAAGCCATTAAGTACACAATCTTTGTCATTTTGTTTGATTTAAAAAATTTTTTGCTTCAAATAAAAGTTTGTAATGTTGTGATTCACCTTGTAGTTGGTTGGTTTGGTTCACAGCTTATAACACTTTAAACAAGACTTTCCCTTTGAGAAAAATGAATGGAAAAAACCCTTCCAGAACCGACGCCACTTAAAAATAATGCAAATGACTCACCTTATTGTCTTCCCAGTACAGCGCTAGACACTGGTCACCAGCTCTCCAGTTTACGTGATCATTTGTGTCCGCCGTCTCTCTCTGACCTTTGATTGGTCCGGATGGTTTCTTGGGGGCGGAGTTATGCATGTTGGTTTGTTTTTGAGGCGGTGCTGAAGACTGCAGCTTGATTGGACCGGTCCGTCTGTGTTCTAAATCACCATTAGGGAGCTGCGCGTTTGAAAACCTGCCCACTTTGATGCACTGACCCAATCCAGCGTCCGGCGAAAAGTCATTTTTCGATGCATCGTGGGAACGCTCAAAGTAGCCTGAATTCGGTCTTTCCAGCTTGCCTTTCCTTCTGTTGTCCTTCTGATCCGAGCCAGCAGGATTTGAGGATTTGGGTGCCGCGGATCCATTTGATTGGTTTTTCCTAAACGAAGCAGGTCCTGTCCCATCCTGCTCTTTCAATCCGCCGTTATGTGGTTCCTGCTGGAAGCTTTTTGACCCACTATATTCCTTTCCATAGCTACCCTGCTGTTCCCTGGACTTCCCCATCGAGGTGTATGTATGTCTAGCATCTTGAGAGTCGTTCTTCCATCGCTCTGATCCTCCTCTTCCCGTTCGCTCTTCCCTGTCCCTCCATTTCTGCGGCTGGGAGACGCTGGAGAAGGCCGCGCTGGGTTTAGGAAAGTCTCCGTCCTTCTGGAAACGTGGAGGCCTGTCGTTTCTCTGCGAGCGCCCCTCGTTGCGGGAAGGGTGTTTGGACTGGGCAGCATCTCTGGACATTTGATCAGTGCTGGGGAAAATCATCTTATATAGATGGTTTTGTAGTGAAGGTTGGTTCTTTGACTCTAGAGGGTTAATTATGAGAAAAACAGTAAAGCAACTGATTACAAATTGTAAATGTTGTAAAGGCCTGATGAAGAAAAACGTGTGAATGAGTGGTGCAGTTTCATTTACTACCTATAATATCAAAGCAACAGTAATAATTAAAACTAAAACTATTTTTAAAGAATCTCTCACAATTTTGTGTTTAAATTTTAACAGCAAACATTTTTTAAGCATTTTGTTGCCAAAAAACCCAAAAAGAATTATACATTTTCACTTGACTACATTTTTAAAAATTAATTATATAGTTAATTTTTTTGCCTTCATTTGATTACCACCATTTTTGATAGTAAATCTGCATTAAATAAATCCAACACAGATTTTCTGAAAATATAAATATTTTATATTTTGTAAAAATGTTAATAAATGATTCAGGCTTTAAGAATTCAATTGATTAGAAAGGATTTTTGATCATAAAAAATGTATTACACCACTAAAATGGAATCCAGAAAAATGAAAAAGGGGGAAAATAAATGTCTTTCATAAAAATAACTTATTTAATAATAACTTATTCAATTTAACAACAAATTATTAATAGTATATTTTTATAAGTTTCACGATTTATTAACTAAATAATAAACCCTAAAAAATTTTTTTTGCTCAACAATAAATTGTTAAATTTAAAGTTTTATGATTAAATTAGTAAGACACACTTTTGATCAATTAATGTAAATTTAATGTAATCATTAAAAGAGCCTAGACAAATGAAAATGAGGGGGGGGGGGCTGAATTTAGAAACATTAAAACCTATTAACATTAATAACTGATAAAGTTATTACCTGCTATGCCAATCAATTAAATGGCACATTTCTGTATTTGCTCAGAAAAGACCATTCAGACCCACTGAAAAGCCTGTTACCTGTTGTTTCATATATTTTTAGTGTCTTGCACCATGAGCATCACAGCATGCATTTAAATGACCTTTTATGATGTGGGGAAATGCGGCAAAAGAACAAGCGGTAATAAAAGTTCATTCAAGAAAGCTGACAGTCTCTTCACAGAAATATCAACTTAATTGCAGGACACAGTGATGATGCAGGGCACTTCAAAAGCACAACTACAGTGTGTTTCAGGTCATTCTGACTCAATGCAAGAGCATGAATGTTAAAACAACAGCACTGAAAGAGCGGAAGACGACAAACCGTTTCTCCACATATTAGCCCTGTCTGTTTTCTCCTGAAGCCATATGTCAGGCAGAGCTTACCAGCCGCAGAGACTTATCTAAAGCTGACTAATAGAGCGCCTCCATTTGGGACTGGCCATCTGTTTGACGCCGCACAGTTCTGCAGCCCACTGGGACTTCAACATAAGACGAGATTAAAAATCCTGATACAATGTTCCCATTATTAAGATTGGTTCCATTGCAAATGCAGTAGGAATGAAGCAAATGATACAATCGTTTTAAAGCAATCATTTAGTCATTATTGCAAAATAAACTCCGATCACAACCTCAAAATGAAAAAGGGTCTTATGCTGAAGGGTCTATTCTGGACATAATAAGAATAAGAATAGTTGTTCTATAACTAGGGTTGGGTATCTTTTGAATTTTATCAATTATCAATTAAATTCCTAGTTTCGATTTCAATAAGTTAAAAAAATTCAATAAAAAAAATGAAGTCAAACATTCTGTTGCAGCTGAATAACGAGCAAAAATCAGCAGCCAACAGAACACTTACAAGAGGAACTTTTGCCTATGCTTTTAACAAAAATACCACAGCAAAAACAATATTATTTTCAAATATTAAAGTGTTAAAGACAAGTAAACAGTCAGTAATAAAATAGGAACAAACAAATCAATTAGCAATAGCATAAACACAACTGAACCAAATTTCAAGTACAGAAACTAATTAAAAGTTTAAAAGCACTGCAACGTTTTCTTTTCATAAATAAAATAGAGATTCATTCATTAAAATTAAAAAAGATATTCAGTCAAAATCAGTGAATGATTTTCTTTTGTTCTTTGATTAACATTAATGTTAGGCAGAGCGTTTATTAGGCTGCCGTCTCTTTAACACCGAACCCATGCAGATCTAAAAATACTGTACACGTGCATTTTCTTTCTCATCCATTTACGTTCACTTAAGACAAAAACAGCTCTTTATGATGATATACTGACGTAGTTTTCTGCATACTGGTCGATAAATATGAAAGTCGTCAGTTCCGGTTTGTTTTCAAGTACTTTCCAGGCATTGAATCCATGTGTCTGATATTCAAGTACTTTCAAGAAGCATGGGGACCCTGTACAAAGCTACAGGCAGTTGTTTTTATCAGGGCTGGAGCTAATTTTTGCAGTACAATGACCCTCCAAGTGCTGGATTTGAGGAAACCTGTTCTTTGTAATCGTCATTGAATTGACTGTAAACTTTATTTTTGTCCATCCGTTTCTTTTTCATTTATTTTGAAATTTAAATTTTATTTCAGTTTACGAAAATGTTTTTTGACCAATAGTTTTAGTCTTAGTTTTAGTTTCCGTTTACGAAAATAACCTTGGTACACAACCACCCTATAATGATAAAAACCCACCAAGTGTTTTTTTTTTTTTTATTATAATCTCCTAAAATCATTATCCCTTTCTCAAATCAAGCCATTCTCAGATTCCTGCCAGTGTGACGTCACACAGACCCAGGCCTAGTGCTGGGCGGTATGACCAAAAATTAGTCTCACAGTGTTTTTCAAAATTATACCGGTTTCACTGTACATGACGGTATTTTTTTTCACGCATGACCGGGTGTTAACCATATTTTCTACTGATTGAGAGAGGAAATACAGCAGTATATTGACTCAGAATGCACTATTTTACTGTCATGATGAGTGAATATTGTCAAAAATACCACACTAAATGGTGACTAAACACGACCCCTTTTAATACATGTTAACCAGGAGTCACTCATTTATAATCGCGTCATCGTCTGATAAAATCAACATGCATCTACACTAAAGAGTGGCTATGCGGTTGTTTTGGCTAGATTACTTTTTGTGTCTCATGCAGCGCACTGCCTGTGTCTGAGTAACAAACTAAAAACAACAACAAACAAAAAAGTGCATGTGATATTAACAGACGAACTACGCTCATATTTATAATTCTAAACAATCAGTAAGCGACAGGTGCTAGGAAACGCTGTTTTGCACTCATTTATTGAGGAGTCGGCTGCGGTGCTTCTCTGCCGCTCACTGCACAGAACAGACGCCGAGAGAGGCGACACTTCTCCGGGAAAGTCAGACCTCGCGTTTGCAGGACAGCACTGGCGAAATCTTCCAACTGAAACAGCTAAGGTTTATCCAGAAAAGTCGCTAGGTTTGTCAGAAGTAAACAGTCAGTAATAAAATAGGAACAAACAAATCAATTAGCAATAGCATAAACACAACTGAACCAAATTTCAAGTACAGAAACTAATTAAAAGTTTAAAAGCACTGCAACGTTTTCTTTTCATAAATAAAATAGAGATTCATTCATTAAAATTAAAAAAGATATTCAGTCAAAATCAGTGAATGATTTTCTTTTGTTCTTTGATTAACATTAATGTTAGGCAGAGCGTTTATTAGGCTGCCGTCTCTTTAACACCGAACCCATGCAGATCTAAAAATACTGTACACGTGCATTTTCTTTCTCATCCATTTACGTTCACTTAAGACAAAAACAGCTCTTTATGATGATATACTGACGTAGTTTTCTGCATACTGGTCGATAAATATGAAAGTCGTCAGTTCCGGTTTGTTTTCAAGTACTTTCCAGGCATTGAATCCATGTGTCTGATATTCAAGTACTTTCAAGAAGCATGGGGACCCTGTACAAAGCTACAGGCAGTTGTTTTTATCAGGGCTGGAGCTAATTTTTGCAGTACAATGACCCTCCAAGTGCTGGATTTGAGGAAACCTGTTCTTTGTAATCGTCATTGAATTGACTGTAAACTTTATTTTTGTCCATCCGTTTCTTTTTCATTTATTTTGAAATTTAAATTTTATTTCAGTTTACGAAAATGTTTTTTGACCAATAGTTTTAGTCTTAGTTTTAGTTTCCGTTTACGAAAATAACCTTGGTACACAACCACCCTATAATGATAAAAACCCACCAAGTGTTTTTTTTTTTTTTATTATAATCTCCTAAAATCATTATCCCTTTCTCAAATCAAGCCATTCTCAGATTCCTGCCAGTGTGACGTCACACAGACCCAGGCCTAGTGCTGGGCGGTATGACCAAAAATTAGTCTCACAGTGTTTTTCAAAATTATACCGGTTTCACTGTACATGACGGTATTTTTTTTCACGCATGACCGGGTGTTAACCATATTTTCTACTGATTGAGAGAGGAAATACAGCAGTATATTGACTCAGAATGCACTATTTTACTGTCATGATGAGTGAATATTGTCAAAAATACCACACTAAATGGTGACTAAACACGACCCCTTTTAATACATGTTAACCAGGAGTCACTCATTTATAATCGCGTCATCGTCTGATAAAATCAACATGCATCTACACTAAAGAGTGGCTATGCGGTTGTTTTGGCTAGATTACTTTTTGTGTCTCATGCAGCGCACTGCCTGTGTCTGAGTAACAAACTAAAAACAACAACAAACAAAAAAGTGCATGTGATATTAACAGACGAACTACGCTCATATTTATAATTCTAAACAATCAGTAAGCGACAGGTGCTAGGAAACGCTGTTTTGCACTCATTTATTGAGGAGTCGGCTGCGGTGCTTCTCTGCCGCTCACTGCACAGAACAGACGCCGAGAGAGGCGACACTTCTCCGGGAAAGTCAGACCTCGCGTTTGCAGGACAGCACTGGCGAAATCTTCCAACTGAAACAGCTAAGGTTTATCCAGAAAAGTCGCTAGGTTTGTCAGGATGAATATTCTATGGGAAAAAGCCGCTAAAAGGGTCTGAAAGTTGCTAAATCTAGTGCTAAACTCGCGCTCGTGTGTGTGAGACGCGGGAGCTGATGGCAGAAATGCGGCA